GTTATGTTGTAATTGAAATCTTATTATTAAGTGTCTCAAAGTAAATAAATATGTAACAAAAACACTTCCTTTCAAGAAATGTCTAATAGTACAACCAAGGAATAAAAAAAAAATATGGTAAAAATAGTCAAGTATACTCAGCTCGAAGTACCAGTCAAGGAACATTTGGGAAGAAAAGCAAGAGTGAGCGCAGCACCTCAAGAAGCCTACACAGTTAAAAGGTTGTATTTAGTCAGGTGTGGTGGTGCACACCTGTAATCCCAGCACACTGAGGCAAGAGAAGCTCAAATTCGAGCCCAGACTGAGCAAATTAGCAAGACCCCATCTCAAACAATCAATCAATAAAAGGCTCAGAATATATCTCTGCACAGAAACATGGGGATCAATTCCTATTATCTAGAAAAAAAATTTTTTTTTCATTTTATATATTTGGTACAGGGTCTCACTATGCCTCAGGCTCATAGTAATCCTCCTGTATTTAGCCTCCACAGCACTGGGATTACAGGGCATGTGCCACCATGCCCAGAATGAAAAAAAAAAATTAATTTAATCTCCCTGTCACTGAAGAGTAAAGTGATGATGTAATTTTTTCTTCCAAAGGTATTTCCGTTCCTATCAGACGCTTATCACTCACCCCCACCCCAGGGCTTCCTGAGGGAAATCAAGAATATTAATTAGGAGATAACAGAGAGGAGAGCTGGAAGGGATGGGATCTGGAGAGGAAACCCCGCACCTTATACTCCCTGCACCTTATCCTCCCTGCACTGTCCCATCACCTGTGCTTGAGGGTCACCGCTCACCTCACTGAAGATAAAACAGCTGGGTTGTAACACTGGCTGACCGCACAGTAGTCCTCTATCAGCAGCCTTCTAGCACATTCTGGCTAAAGGTTAACATTGGACCAAAATCCAGAAACACACCTGCTTCATTTCTTCTCCCCAGAAATGTGGGCGGTAAGATCTACCCTTGCCTGTACTCATCTCACCAAATCAAATAATAAAGTAGGCTGCGTACACCAATCGCTACCACATACCCGCAACTTCAGATCAATTGAGAACATCTGCGGTCACCCGAGACGTCCCAGGGAGCTGTGAGCCCTCCAGGGTTTCTACCAGGTGGCTTATACAAGATCTATACACACTTTACACAAAGTGTCACTACTGTCACTGAAATCAAATGTCCATGCCATTAATAATCATTTCAGG